TCTCTCTCTCTCTCTCTCTCTCTCTCTCTCTCATATATATATATATATAATCTATATCTATCTATAGATAGATAGATAGATAGATAGATAGATAATCTGTATAGATATATCTATGTATAGATAAATCTATGTATAGATTTATCTATATAGATATATCTATATCTATATACACTCTTTAAAAGAAATCGTAGCTGTGCTGTCTTTTTAAAAAAATCATGCTCTCGTCATTCCTTAGTTTCCAGTTACACAGAGTGCAAGCATATGTGTATAATGTTTTTACCTTTTCAGATCCTTAGAGACAGACTTTGCTCCAGCATAAAAGCTCTTTGCATGATCCTGTGTGCAGCACTCCACTTCCAGAATCAGTGCCAGGCAGGAAAGGCTGCAGGGAGTCCAGAGAGCAGAGAGGCAGCCTAAATCCTGCCTGCTCCTTGCAGAAGTTTAGCACTAATACCTGACTTGGCAGTTCAACTCTGATCTTCCACCCTGAGATCTGGTGTTAAAGGCGTTTCCATTTCAGTGACAAGGAATGTATAAAATGCACCCAAACTTGAAAACCAGGAACAAGGAACATAAGTTCTTCTGGGTCTCTGCTTTATTGAACAATGAGTAAGAAACGTTTGCTGCAAAAGGCTTTTGTTGGAAACAAAACAAACACGCTTTAATTAAGCAGCTATACGGTAGGAAGAGTGTCCAGTGTAATAAAAGGTCAGATCCTAGGTAAGACTTCAAAGGTGATTTCAGGTTAACTAAATGGATGGAGATTGACAGTTCACATATCCTACTTCACAACCACTTTAAAGTACATCTGCAATGAAAGCATTATGTGGTCTTCCATTGCTGACGTAGCTGAAAATGTCAGTTGCCTGGCTGTCATGCTTGGTCTTTAGCTTGAAAACCTTTCTGACTTGTTCACCTGGAACAAGGAATTCTGACACTTATTTACAAAGGTGCCCATACACTCTGCGAATATCGTTCGGAAATAGTCCACAAATGGTCTTTCGTACAATAATCGATCAGTTGATGGGATACCAACGATTTTAATTACTGTACTTCTGGCCGAATTTCCTCGATCAGTCAGGCTGGAAAACTTTAATCGAATCGTATGAAAATTGATGGATTAGTGACGTAAATGCATGTAAACGCACATCCTTTTCAGCATCTAGAAGCATAAACAAAGCATCTATCCTGACAGACTTTGCAGACAAATCTTTGCATAAAAATGCAAGTGGCAAGTGTGAATGAAGCCTTAAAGGAGAACTATGAGGCGAGTGAAAATCACTCAGCCTCATAATCTGAGCCGACCTGTGACAATGAAACTGTCACAGGTCGGCTCTATAGATCGGGAAGTGAGCGAACACATACCGGCGCTCGCTCACTTCTCGATCCTGTCCCTGCAGAGAGCCATAACTGTCACTCACAACTCCCTGCAGGGATTCCCTCCCTCCCCTGTCCGATCCTCCAGCGCTGACTGGCTGAACGGACATGGGGAAGGGGCGGGTACAGCTGGCTCTGCCTCTAGATAGGCAGAGCCAGCTGTCACCCACGCAGCTGGGTGGATCCAGACAGTAATGTCGGGATCCGTACCGGCTGCGGCGTCTGAGTATAGCGCGTGCTGTAGCTCGCGCTATACTGAGCTTAGGGTGACGGGAGGACGCTAGTTTGTGTCCTCCCATTACCCTTAGGAGAACTATGGAGAAAAGTCCTTACCCCATAGTTCTCCTTTAAAAAAAACCTGTCCCGAGAGAAATATGAAGAGTGCTATTGCTGCAATGTAATTCGCCTAAATTGTTCTGCCTCCGCATCCTGCATGTTTGTTCCCCCTAGCCACCTGCAGTGCCCCAAGCCTAACCCACCACCTCCTTGCTCCTAGCCCTCTGCAACGCTTCCCAGAATCTGGCAGGGCTATCCAGCCCCTACAAAGCCACCTGAATTGCTCCCCAGCTTTTTCCAGTCACCCTCAGTCTTCCTCAGCCCTATGGATCCCCAACCCTTTCAAGTGCCCTCCAGCCCCTTGCAGCGTTCCCTAGCCCCCTCCACAGCCCTAGTCCTCTGCAGTGCCCTCCAGCCTCCTCCACTGCTACCCAGGCCCCTACACAACCCCAGCCTATGGTATTAGATCCACCCTTCTCCGGGGTCCAAAGCCTCCTACAGCCCCCTCAAGTGCCATCATCTCCCTCAAGTGCAGGAAACCTTGCATCACAGTATGGTCTCCACTTACCATTTGGATGTGTCAACAAAAGCTGCTTATTTGTGCTGATAAAAAGGAGAACTGTTCATCATGGCAATGACTGCTAAATACAAGTATTGGGAGTAGAAAGAGGACTTATAACCATCCAGCCTTAGGAGACTCTAATATGGCCTTCACAGTCTATGATGATCTTGCTTCTGCAGACAATGTTCCCAAGACAAATAGAAAGGGTGACCCTCCCCACCCCAGAAAGCAACAAAATGTGACAGAGGTTCTAACCCTTTCATTCTAAACAAAAAACAAAAACTTGGGGCTTTTTTCAAACACTTAAGAATACAGTGAGAAAGAAATTACCAAAGTGTCATGTTAACAAGATATAAAATACCTTCAGCAAGCCTGAGGTCACCTGGCTAATGTTCCTCACACCTGCCAAGTGCAGCCAAAGGGGTACATTGAGATATATAGCTCAGTATATATGGGCACTCACAAAGTGTTAGCCTCATTGTGTGCTGCATCTCATCACAAACCATGTTACTTGCAATATCTGGCCAGCTTTAAAACTGCAGCATGACAATTTTGAAAAACCAGGCACACAATGTGCACAGCGTACTGTATGGGAGCTCTAGGAGATGTGAGGTAACAGTATCCTCTCCTTTCCTAAGGTATCACCAATTAGAGCTTAGTACATTCATTGAGCAGTTATTCGGTTAATTGCAATGCAATCAGCAGTTTAAATTATGTTTTCGAATTCCTCCTTGCTTACTGTTAGTTTCTTGAAATTACATAATTAATTCATGAGCATAGACGTAACACATTCAAATTGCAGGTTTCTAGTGACTGGGTGAATTAAAAATAGACTTCAATCATATGCTGGGATTAGTCATTAGCAAAACATCCTGTAAATCTTACTATGAGGCTGGATGGTGTCCAGATTACTTACCAGTAACAATTGCTGAGATGTATCAGCCAGTCGCGAGGGAGAGAATCCAGGTTACGTTACACAATGTAGCAATCACTGTGCTACTAAGGCAATTTAGGGATTTGCACCTAGTAATGACCTTGTAAAGGTGAACACCACTCATTAAGAATGGTATGCTCATCTGCCCTTGTTTCATAATTTAAAAAAAAGAGTTTCTATAGGTTAGCAAAATCAGTAAATCTTATGGAAAGAGAGAGAGAGAGAGATCCACTTGATCTGTAGCAGACAAAATGTTAACAAGGGTCATCAACTAGATGGTCAAAAAGAGAGCAAGCTACATCATCAATAGCCCTTACTAAGAAGAGACACTGTTGTGAAGAGGTAGACAGTTGTCATTACTAGGTCTGTACAGCCCATTAAGAACATTGTTTCCTGGTTTATCCTGCACAGATTATACATAACGTGCATTCGTGTACCGGACCAAACCTTGCAGATCTAGGTAGAATGATACACTATATATATTGCCAAAAGTATTTGGACGCCTGCTTTACACGCACATGAACTTTAATGGCATCCCAGTCTTAGTCCGCAGGGTTCAATATTGAGTTGGCAAGCCCTTTGCCGCTATTACAGCTTAGACTCTTCTGGGAAGGCGTCCACGAGAATGTTTGACCATTCTTCCAGAAGCGCATTTGTGAGGTCAGGTACTGATGTTGGACGAGAAGGCCGGGCTCATGGTCTCCACTCTAATTCATCCCAAAGGTGTTCTATCGGATTGCGGTCAGGACTCTGTGCAGGCCAGTCAAGTTCCTCCACCCCAAACTCGCTCATCCATGTCTTTATGGTCCTTGCTTTGTGCACTGGTGTGCAGTCATGTTGGAACAGGAAGGGGCCATCCCCAAACTGTTCCCACAAAGTTGGGAGCATGAAATTGTCCAAAATGTCTTGGTATGCTGATGCCTTAGGAGTTCCCTTCACTGGAACTAAGGGGCCAAGCCCAACCCCTGAAAAACAACCCCACACCATAATCCCCCTTCCACCAAACTTTACACTTGGCACAATGCAGTCAGGCAAGTACTGTTCTCCTGGCAACTGCCAAACCCAGACACGTCCATTGGATTGCCAGACAGAGAAGCGTGATTCATCACTTCAGAGAACATGTCTCCACCATTGCATCCAACGCTCTGCATTGCACTTGGTGATGTAAGGCTTGGATGCAGCTGCTCGGCCATGGAAACCCTTACCTTGAAGCGCTCGACGCACTGTTGTTGTGCCAATCTGAAGGCCACGTGAAGTTTGGAGGTCTGTAGCTATTGACTCTGCAGACAGTTGGCGACTTCTGCAAACTGTGCGCTTCAGCATGTGCTGACCCCGCTCTGTCATTTTATGTGGTCAACCACTCTGTGGCTGAGTTGCTGTTGTTCCCAGTTGCTTCCACTTTGTTATAATACCACTAACAGTTGACCATGGAATATTTAGTAGCAAGGACATTTCACGGATGGACTTATTGCACAGGTGGCAACCTATCACGGTACCATGCTTCAATTCACTGAGCTCCTGAGAGCAACCCATTAATTCACAAATGTTTGTAGCAGCGTCTGCATGCCTAGGTGCTTGATATTATACACCTGTGGCCGTGGAGGTGATTGGAACACTTGAATCCAATGATTGGGAGGGGTGTCCCAATACTTTTGGCAATATAGTGTATTATTCATGTTCTGCTTCCACGGCTGAATCTGATTTTTGACCTTCTATGGCATGGGGTAAATAGAACCACTACTTTAGTCTAACAATATGAGGAAGGCTATGTCATTTTGGGGGCTTATGAGCTTTCCATTGCAGCATTTTTCTTTTTTAAACATAATAATAAATTACTTTTGCGCGATACATTTAATATTTTATAAAACATATAATACAAATATAAAATTATTACTAAAATGTTAATCAAGGCTTGCCCCCCTTCCCCTTTGCCCTTGTAAACCCCTATATACACTTCACACTACTGGCCTTAGATAAGCTAGTAGTTTATTCTATATTGGCTCTGTTGGTACTGCAGTCATTTACACTGAGCCGACAAGGCCATGGCATATTGCTGGCCACCTGCCCTAATGGAGAAGCAACTTGTAATCCTTCTCCTTTGTGGTTTATGTAGAAAAAGCTGCATATACACTATACAAGGACTGCAGAACTACTGAAGACAGTGTAGGCCACTGCCTGACCTGAGATCACCGGTGTAGGATATACTGTATATAGGTAAAGGGAGGGCAAGAAGGGCAGCTGTTACCAGCTTGATTAAAACGTTTTGTTATCCTTTAAAAAAAATACACAAGCAAGTCATAAGCTATATAG